TGTCATGCTCAAAGTCCCCTCTCAATTGGCTGAGGGTCGGCTGGGGCTCTGGCATCTTGAGGGTTGAATCCAACAAGCACTGCTGTCTACTGGGCACTACAGTCTCTGAATGAATGGACTGGGGTTGGTTAGCACTGACACTGGCCTCTCTCTCTCCCCAGGCTGACAGAGCGGGCTCAGGCTCTTTCCCTAGCAGGGATGTTTGTGGGAATGAAAGCAAAGAATGACAAAGAGGCTTGGGAAAAATCTGGGACAGGCTGGGTCTCAAAATCTGGGGAGTGAAGGGGGTTTCCCAACCTCCCCTACCCTTGCATTTGGGGGCTCCCAGGGTCATCTACTCATCTCCTCCCCCTCCACACACTGCTCCTGGGTCATCACTCATACTCCAGTGGTCTGAGCTCAGTCACTGCAAGGAGGCTGGGAGACACGGTTGAGTGGTGTCCCTGCCTGCGGGGGGCAGAAAAGGACTTCCTGAAGAGTCTCTGCCACATCACCTCATCTGAAATGATCGCTTCCGTCCATCCGCAAAGGCAATGCATTGAACAAGAAGGCGCTGCCTCTCTCTGCCACTGGACTGCAAGCTCCCTGAAGACGAGGGTCTTATCTATCTTGTTCGCTGCGTCTCCAGCCCCTAGAACACAGTATGTGCTCAGTAAATATGGGTGAATGACTAGGTGAAGCTCAGGCCCTCTTTTCAAGAAGAGAAACGCAAATTCTGGACTGGGAGAGCTGGGAAAGATGTATGGGCCCGAGATGAGGGAGTTTGGAGAGATGCGTCTTGCTAGTCAGGACACCAGGGAAAGTTGTCCTTTGCTGCATCACCACCCACACCAAAACTTAGTTCCTTAAAACAGCAGTCATTTTGTCTGCTCATGATTCTGTGGTTTGTGAAAGGTTCAGCAGGTACACCTTGTCTCTGCTCCACACAGTCTCACCTGGGGCCAGAGGATCCACTTCTAAGATGGCACACTCTAAGTTGGTATTGGCTATTGGTTTCACATAGGCCCCTCTACAGAGCTGCTGGGGCTTCCTCGCAGCATGGTGGCTGGGTTCCAGGAGTAAGTGCACCAAGAGACAGGAAGTAGAAGCTGCCTGTCTTCTTAAGGTCTGGGCCCAGAAACTGGCATTGCATCATGTCCTCCATATTCTACTGGTTAAGAACTCACAGAGCCAAGATTCAAGGGGCCCTTGATGGGAGGAGTGTCACAGAGTTTTGAAGGCATGCTTTAAAACCATCACAGAAGTCTTCCTGGAGGAGAGGAGTGAGCAGTTACAAACCAAGGGTTTGGACGGCACGTGTAAGCGCTCCAGCATCCCTGGAGCGGCCTTCGCCTACCACCGCATGGCTGCAGCCTCCTTCTGCCTGCCTTAAAGAAAACTCCAGTCGATGGGCATGGCTGATTGGATTCTCCAAAAGTGGCCCTGGCAATACTTCCAGTCTCACATGTGCTTCTTGAACATTGCCCACTCCATCAAAAACTGGAATCTTTTCCCCCTCCTCTCCAAGCAGGGTGGGCTCGCGACTACCTCAATGAATAGAATGTGGCAGAAGTGATGTTGCATGACTTCTGAGACTAGGTCATAAAAGGTGAAATGGCTTCTACCTGGCTCACTCTCAATCTCTCTCTCCAGATGCTTGCTCTTGGGATCCAGGCACCATGCTGCATGGAAGCCCAGGCCACATGAAAAGGCCACTGGTAGGTGTTCCAGCTGACAGCCTAAGCTAAGGTCTCAGCATCTCAGCAGACATCTAAGTGACCCAACCTTCAGAAGATTCCAACCCCCAGCCTTTGAGTCTTCCATCTGAGGCCCCAGACATCAGAGGTGCCAGTGACAAACCATCCCCACCATGTTCTGTCTGCATTCCTGACCCACACCACCCATAAGCATAATAAATGGTGGCTTTGTCCCACCCAGCTTTGGGTAATTTGTTATGCAGCCATAGTAACTGGTACAGTGGGCAAAGTGAAATATAACGATGGGACCTGCAGAAAGCAGTTCCATGGGCAGGAGGAGTCGGGGGGAACCTCACCAGAGCAGTCTGGCCATTGAAGCTGGTGTCCACCATGTATAAATTGGAAAGCAAGGAGAGGTGTTTGGACAGAGGAAACAGCATGTGTGAAGCTTCGAACAAGGAAAGGGACCAGCAGGAGGAAGGCCAGTGGGGCTGGAGCACAGCCCTGTGAGGGGAGGTGGGCGGTGCAAGAAGCACCCTTCATCCTGAGGGCTCAGAGGATTCTTGGTGAGATCTCTTTCCAGGTGAGGAGGTGAGATGGATAGTCAGAGGAACAAGGCCACTGACCAGGCCCAGCAAATGGGGATGAGGCCTCCCCTGTAGTGGGCAGTGGAGAAGAGCACCTGACCGAGCTATGGGACAGACCAGGATGGGAGGCTGTGTAGGGACCAGTGGTGCCTGGCTTGGACAGCTGGATGGACGCAGGACGAGGGCCAGAAGCTGAGGGAGCAGGAGCTGGGGGTACCTGTGGTGAGGGCCAAAGATGTCGTTGGAAGGGCAGTGGATGATGCTCTCCTCTTTATGGCATGGCCTTTGCTGGTTGTCCTTCCCCTGGGGAGAACCTCTAGGAGGTGAAGTCTACTGCAGCCCCTTCACCCCTTGAGTTATGCCTTGCAACATATCCCATCACTCCTCTGAATTTGAGACAGGAGGGTCCCGCTGCCAGGCTGCTTCCTTGACTGCAGCCGGGATGATGTCAGGCCCTCAGGAGCCTTCCTGGGGTTCCTTGAGCTGGATACACTTTGTGGCTACAACTGGATGATGGGACAGCATCGTGTCCTTAATGAGGGGCCAGTGCCGCATTACAGCACGTCTGTGGGAAAACGCAACCTGCATGGCTGCTGTTAAGTCCACTCCTCAACCCAGACTCTAGCATTTACGGAGCAGGAAGTGGAGTGGCCTCTTGCTCACCGCAGAGGGGAGGATGGCTGACTCACCCGGGGCCCAGCTCACCAGTCTCACCTCTGAGCCTCTGGAGCCTCCCAGGCTGGAGGGAGGACTTCCTCTGGGCTCCCTTAGTATTTAAACCTTTTTCTGTGTTCCTAGTATAGAAACATGTCTCTTCCTGCCTTTCCCGGCAATCTGAGGGGCATTTGCGTGTCCCCAGCACCCATGTGGCCTCACCCTTCGAGGGTGTTGAGTCTGCTGAAGGAGCGACTGCAGCGACGTTGAATGAATTCTCTGGGCCAGCATGTCGCCCCTGTGTCTCCAGGGCCCTGCCCCTTTTTGCGAGCACCATCCCTTCTCATGAACAGATGTGCCTCTTAGAGTGGCACTTTCTGGTGACACATACACATCCTCAAAAGGCTAAGAATGCTGGCTGTGACAGGGGTAAGTTACAAAATAAACACGAAGCTGTCAGTAGCTCCTCTAACAGGGCACTCGGGCATGGGCGACGCTCACTTGGAGGAACTGGGAACCTGGTGGGCCTGGGAGTGAGAACTCGCTCAGAGGGCTGCCCCGGCCTGGGTGGACTCGTGAAACTGTTCCTCTGCCCACCACAGCGGTGATGGAAGGTGCCTCTGCGCAGCCCTCCGGACCCACCTGGACAAGCTGCAGCCACTTCCTGCTGGCCCACCACCCCAGCTAGAGGGGAGTGAGGGGTCCGCTTCTGCCCAAAGGGGCTGGGAAGGAAGGGGTGTCAGTGTGAGTTCCCTGAGAAGCTGGCCCTGAGAAGATGTCAGAGCAGCTCATTTATGTGGGAGGAGGAAACAGCAGGAGCAGGGTGGGGAAGGCAGGCAGCAGCCTCACTCACCCCTGTAGGGGAGCTGCCCACCCACCTCTCCTGGCCGGCCTTCAGGCGAGAGCTGCTCCCAGGGGATGTGACTCCCCACGTTTTCCCGCAGGCAGCAGAGCAGCTTACGGGGTTGGGAAGAGCCCTCAGGCAGAGATCCAAGCAGGGCAGGAGGATGGCCCAGTGGCCATGAAGTGGTCTTCCAGAGGGATCGGTGAGGCACCGACTGTGCCTGCTGCACAGCGTCTCTGCTCCTGGCAGCCTGTGGGGGATGCCAGTGTGTGTGGTTGTCACTGGTCAGGGGAAGCACGGGTCACTGTCACCAGCATCAGCTGTCCAAGAAATGTGCCGTGTCCTCCAACATTTTGATGGCAAAACTTGTGATTAATGAAGTCAGTTGGGGGGATGGTGTGGTGACCCACAGGAGGGAAAGACCCTTGTCAACTGGGCCTGGGACAGAGGCCTGGGCTAGGGATGGGCACAAGCACAAATTCTAACGTGCCACAGGCTTCGTGGCTCTACCTAAGCTATAAAGAACCCCCTACCTGTCCCAGTTCCCAGCTTAAGACTTGGAGTGCACCCCCAACCCTGTGGCCTCTTCAGCAAACCCCACACTGGGTGTTAAGAGAGGCCACCAGGCAAACTTGGTGCTGAGGGGAGATAGTGGGGAGCAGGTGGCAAGCCTTTGGGGCCACCCCCAAATGGCCTCTGGGACCAGCAGGCTGAGTAGGGCTGCCTCAGGTGGGCCCCTGGGGTTGATGCGGCCCCCGGAGCAGATGGCCAGGCCTCTGGGAAGCTGCTGGGGTGCGAGCTGTCCATGGAAGGGGTGGGACTACGTGACCTCCAGTGGCTCCTTCAGAAGGAAGCATCACCTTGGAAACTGTCCTGCCTTTCCGCAGGCGTCAGGCTCTGCTCTAAGTGCTTTACGTGTGTTGTCCTGTTGGAGCCTCTCCACACCCCGCGGAGTAGGTGGCTACTACTAGCCCCGGTTTGCAGATAAGGAAACTGAGGCCCCAGACGTTAAGCAACTTGCCCAAACAGGAGAGGAAGGGAATGGTCGAGCAAGGTGAGAGCCCTGGGTCAGGCCTAAGTCCCAACTGCTCCGTGCAGCAGCGTGAGTGAAGCCGGGCTGCGGGCACCGCCCACCAGGCACGCCCTGCCTGGCCCTGCGCTGGATGTGGCTGTGCTGGGTCAGGCCTAGTCAGCACCTTGGGCCCCAAAGTCTGGCGTGGAACAAGTTAAGCGACATTCTCAGTTTGACATTAGTCTTTTATTATAACCATATTGAATGGGATCACTTTGCCAAAAGGATAAGTCATTTCTTAAGTCAATATGAGTTACAGCATAAAGATAATGAGAAAAAAGCAACAGGAGATACATGGCACAACGGAGTATCTGGTAAATCAAATGAACTGTGCCACTGTGAGAAGATGATTATGACAACTTTTACATCAAAGTGGTCTCAAGCCTGCTCACAGGAACTTTATATTTCTTTCAACACTATAAAAAGAGAGCTTTTGAAAGTAACACTGAGGAAGCAGTTTGGGCCCATGAGCAGGAAGCCTGGCTGGCCAGCTGCTGTCTGCAACTCATCCTACCCCCCCACCCCCCGCGCCCTTGCACTGGACACCCGGGGGGCAGGGGCCAGGTGTGCATCTGCAGGGCAGGAGGGCTGGGATGGCCGTGGGCTCCACAGGACAGCCACTCAGAGCGCGGGGATGTAAGTCCTCCATACACACTCTTGTTCTGTAATGACCCCTGGGGGCAGCTGCTTAAAGAAACCATAAAAGAAAAATGATAAATTGGCGTCAGCTCTGGCAGGTAATCCTTAGGAGACAACATAACTGTCACACAGTTCTGTATTTGTTTGTTGTCTCCGACACAGCAGAGCAACGTTCTCACTAACGGCGGGCCATCAGCCCCCAGTGACTGACGCGAGACTGCGCTCGTCAGGCGCTAAGGCCAGTGCAGGGGCGTGGCTTCCCCATGGTCCTGTCCACTCTGCAGCGATAGCATTTCTTCCCAGATTGCAGTGAGCATCAGCAGGAGGTCATCTTTGGAAGAGTAAGCCAGCACAGGGAAATGCTGAAAGTGTCATATGACCCCCTGGCATACAGACTAAGTAAGGCAAAGTCACAGTGACTTTCATTCTCTCATCTGTAACTCCCATATGTAATGTACAGAGATAAATTTTAACTTAAATTTCCAAACTGATCAGAGAGGAATGCATGAAACACAGGGACATGTATAAAAAAGCAGATGACAATGAGAATTAATCTAAGCTTTATGTATATAAAATATATTTAACTGCAATAATCAAAACATGAGAGGGTTCCACTGATTACCACATTTGCTAACGAAAATGAAAAGGTTTCATATATTCAGGATTTAAAAAATATGCAATTAAACACAAGTACCTGATAAAATAATAAAAAAGGAAGGAACACATATTCTTTGATAGCACTGTAACTAAGAAAAATGCAAACAATGCTCCACTATGAAGAATAAAAACAAGTCACTTAAAAAAGATAAGACAGTAACACAATTCTTGAACCTCATGAACCTTTGGGAATTTGAGGGTGGCACTGCCCGCACCCCACTCCCCTCGTGTGTTTCTTTCCTCCGAGGAGGGAAGGGCTTGTCGGGGGCCACCCTCTGAGTGACCTCCCTGCTCCGCACGTGGCCCCAACACGGAAGCACAGCATGGAGGCCGCACCCGCACATGCGTGCAGGGCTGGGAGTTTTCTGTGACCGTTAAACACTCAGCCAACTGAGGGAACGAGCCTGGCGCCTGGCTGGTGTGGTGCGTGTCTGGGCTGTGTGGCCAGTGACACTTGGCTTTCATAGACTCTAGCTCTCAGGGCCAAGGAAATGCTGAAAGTGAGCAGATGACTGTGGCCCAGCAGCCAGGGGACCGTCAGCTCATGGCCCTTTCCAGTCTCTGTCCTGGAGCCCCAGCAAGGACAGGTCCACACTTCTTACCTTAGAACGGAAACACCAGCACCTTCCCAGGCCAGGTCCTTTGAGAGAAAGTAATGGGTACCCCTGTGCAGCTGCAAGGCCACTCACTTTATGGGAACCTTGGGAGCCTAGGAAGTGTCATCAAGGGGACGTATACTTGGCAGCAACTTACTCAGCAACTCCCCTGCCCATAGGGTGCTGAGCTCAGAGTCAGAGCCAGAGAACTAATCAGTGTCTCTCTGAATAATTGTGGAAAGCCAACCAACCCCGTCATCTGAGCAAAACCAGAGTGACTGTTACTCAGCTTACATGCTGATGTGTCAGGAGGAGATTTCCCTGCTAGAGTTCAAGAACAAACTGCAGAGCTCATTAGAACCCTCCCTGCAGTAGCTGAGTCTCGAGTCATCCTGGAGAGCAAGTGGGAAATCACGTCGTGACCACATTTGTCTATAGAAAAATACATGGTTAGCACTGGGAGGGACGTAAACAGTGTCTGTTCCTTCATACTTAGCTTTCCACTTGTTGCCACAAAAGCTTCCACCGCCCAAAGGCCTCGCCACCCTCCGAGGAGAAGCCCAAAGAACCCGGCAGCCCAGGGCGAGGGAGCCTGCTCCCTGATGAGGTGAAGTGGGTACCGTGTCTCTCCTGTTAGAATTCCTGCTCAGGCAAAGGAGAGGAAAAGTGTCCTTTTCAGGGCTCTTCTCCTAAGGAGAGAAACAGCTCAGGCAACGCTTCATGTTCATGACGGTTCCCTAAGTTACAACTGACAAGGGGACACCCCTATTGTGTACTGAAACGCAGGACGACACTGGCACGTCAGACCTGGGCCTGCCCTGGCATGGCGCCTAGGACGCACGATGGGGCCCAGGCCTGTTGCTCCTACACTTGGCTCCCAGCAAGGGAAGGGCTGTGCAGAAATCCTGCATCCTCCTGGCACCCGGAATGTTCTCTAGGAAGCCCTGCTCCCCAGGAGGGACTCCAGGTCTAATTCCCGGTTGCTGTTACCTTAAGGCCAATGGGAGATCCTGACTCTGGATGGGAATGAGCTTGGGCTTTTCCCTTTACTTCTAAGTTGACAGGTGAATACAGCCCCAAAACTACAGAAACTTTCCCAAAATCGACTGTCTGAAAGGTGTTTATCCCACAAAGTCAGGGTCATAATTTCCAGTTCAAGGAAGTAACATTCTTACAACTTTTGAAATCAGTGCAGCAAAGATTGGCTTAAAGTGACCTGTTTTCTGGCTGTGAAAGCTTCTAGAAGGTGCAGTGCGATTGTTTAAGGAGGGACAGCGGTGACCACAGTCCACCTGGCCTGAGGTTTGGAAATGGACTCTTTAACAAATGAAACGATCTAAACCACATCACACCAAAATACCATCCTAAGTTTAGACCCTGTTTCTGAAGATCACTGTAACTTTCTGAGGCCAGTAATGGGTTCTTTCCAGCCCTGGAATCCACTAGTTCTAGTCCATTCTGTTGCACTTGGCTCTGCTGTATGGCTTCCCAAGAGAGGAAGGGAACAGGCTGAGAGAGGGATTTCCACAGAGAAGCTTTCCTGATATCTCTTTTCCTCTGCCCGATCTTCTGAGGGAGGGAAGATTTGAAACCAACTCTTCTTCCTTCCTCTAGATATAAGTCATGGAGTTGCTGCACCTATTTAGGTGGGGAGGAGAGGACAGAGGGAAAGTGATTCTACTTGTGGTTTGGTCCTTCTTGACGGTGAGTGTGACACTGGGTACTCAACCTGGCTCTACCGCAGGCACGGTGGCCGGGGCTGGGTTGGGCCCCGAAAGCCGCGTCTGCAGGTGAACATCAGTCTGTGAGCTCTGGGGCCCGATTTGCTTCCCTCTAAAGGGTTCCAGTGGGCTGCACCAATGTCACATGCATGCTGGGGAAGAAGTGTTGGTTTCAGAGGGGTCTCCACTGGGGGAGCCTCAGCCTGGCCTTGGGGCTGCTGAGGCAGATGGCGGGGTCCCCGTGAGGCAGGCCTGGGGCACGGTGGTTAGATGTCCAGGGGGCTCACGATAGTGAAGCCAGAGTCCTTGCTGTGGCTGCTGCTGTCGTCGTCGGGGCTGGAGCTTGGATTGCTGGAGGAAGCGGAGGCTGGGCCCATCAGTGGGTCAGAGAACACCAGGGGGGAGCGGGCCAGGGCCTCGCTTTTCCCAGATGTGCTTCTGAGGGTGCGAAGAGGCTGGGCCTGGCCTGAGAAGGATGCCCTGGCGCTGCCTCCCTCGTCTTCTTTGGAAACCAGGATGAAGTCATCTGAGCTCCCTCTGTCTGCGCACCCTGGCACTTCTGAAGAGGCCTGTGAGGTAAAATCAGAAGGACAGGAGGATGAGAGAGGAAGCCAGCGAGAGGCCCTGTGGGCTGGGGAGCGCGCCATGGAAATCTAGGCCACCTCAACCCTGAGCTCTTCCTTGGAAAGACGCGGTGTTTGGTCCTGCTTCCCTGAAGCCCAAGTGCTTCCCGGTGGTGCAGGGCCAGCCCCCCTGAAGCTGAACACTGGCTTCCCAGGGAACAAAGCAAACCTCCCGCTTGGGCAGTTGTTGAGAGAGGCCTGCTCAGGAGCTGGCCAGCAGGCTGCAGACATAATCCCTATCAGCTTCGTGTGGCACCCTGCTGTGCAAAGCACTCCTCCTCTTTGCTAGAACTCTCCTCTGTGAACTGGGGCTGAGGACAGTGTGTGGTCGCCACGCAAGGAGATGATGTGCGTGATGTGAATTCCATAGGACCGCTCCCTAATGGAAGCCCCGTACCCACAGTGATTTTGCTACTTGCCTACAAGACAGCTTTAGCAGGGCCTAGTGTATTTCATCTCATCTGTAACTCACAGCTAGCTCATCCTGGGTATGCACTTGCGGGTCCCCCGGGACAGAGGCAGTAACTGGTAGGTTCTACAAACACGAAAACCAGGAATGATCATTGCAAAGTACATGGCAAAAAGTACAGGGACAGAATTGCTTTTCTCTGCAACTATTTTCCTTTCGTTCTAAGCAATTAGGAGTAGGGTTTTGTTTTTAACTAAAGAAACTGACATCTATGAACCAGTAACGGTTTTGGGTCAAGACCAGGGAAGCTCCTGCCTCTCCTGCGATGGAAGTGAAGCCATAATCCGACCAAAGATGTCCCAACACCAGCCTGGCAGGAAGAGCACCGTCCCCAGCGCTGATGTAAGCCAGGGTTGTGCCCTACCGGCTCCCTCCCCACTCTTCCTGCCTCCTCTCCCCATGGCTTGGGTGGGACAGGTGCAGGGTCTGACGCTGAGATACACCAAGCCTCTTGGCTAGAAGTGCCCCCTGGGTCCTCTGACCTCCAGACTGGTATGGCCAAGGTCACCTGTGGGCTGTGGGCAGAGCCTGGACAGGTAGTTGGCAACACTTCTAAGGGACATCTGGGCCTGACTGACAGGCCCCTCTCTGAATCGTATGTTCTCCTTGGTGATGGGGGGCGGGTGACTAAATAATGGCTTAGGTGCCTCCACCCTCTGACAATTCGTCTACCTTTAAGATATTTAATTGGAGAACAGAAATAGAATCTGCTTTTAATATCACAGTGCTGAAACAACAGGCCTTGAGCCTCTTCATCTCAAGTTTTAAAGCTGTTTACATTCTATCAACACATTAATTCTTACAAAACCGAAGAGATACACAACACACGGCCCTCTGTTAGAAGGGGAGGTGATCACAAATGGTTAGGGCAGTTTGGGAGAGCAAGACTGCCTTTTTTCCTCCCCTTTGCTGTCTCTCTGTAAGGTGCATCTGGTCAGGGCTGTGTTGCCCCTGGGGAGGTGAGAAGGGACGTCTGAGTGGGGCCTATCTTCCCACACATATACACATGAGATGCACGTAAGGCTGCCTGGGACCTCAGCTTTGACCTCCTAGCCCCAAAGAGTGGACACTTGGTTCACATGACTGTCGTCCTGCATTGTAAACTGAAAACCTTGACCTCTCAGCCCACAAGGGGTCTACGGCTGGAACGCTGCTTGGTAGAACTTATCTTAGGTTGAAAATAAAATGGGCATGTACAGTGGGTGCTATTTTTAGAGTGGTGTCTTACTACGGAAATACCATGATCCCCTACTCTCCTTCAGCTCACAGTGAAGACGTTAGCAAGACTCTGAAGAGGAGAGATACCTTACAAAACCTGAGCCTGGAAGTAAAGATAGTTCCTGCCATCACTAATTATCTGGAGCGTTTCTGGAAAAGTAGTGAAGTCAAGTTATAAATTGTGCATAACATCCCTCCCAAGCCCCCAATTCCCAGGTATTTCCCATGGATGGGCTTAGACAAAGCACATCAGAGTGGACAGGGCCTCAGAAACCAGCTTCTTTTATTATTCCCCTATCTTTATATCAAAAAATAAAGCCCAGACTGGAAGCCTGGTGGCTTGGCCAATGTCACAAAGCAAATTAAAAGACCCCACTCTTCTGGACTCCCACCTAGAACTCTTCCAGACACAAAGATGCCTTCTTTCTGGGTTTCCATAGCAGTCTTAGCTGTTACCTGGTGCCGTTTATATCATTTACAGAAACTTTGTAAATTCCTAGGTCAATCCTCTCTTTTTGACAAATACAGGCACGTAATGCACAATTAAAAAGGTTTTTCAACCTGTCAGTCCTGCCTAAAACTGGCCGGGACCACCACAATATACACCCCTCACTCTGCCTTGTTTCTTAGTTTGAGTTTAGGACCATGGTGGAAGCAGGTGAGCCCAACTATAGACCAGTGCGTTCAACAGAAATCTTCTATGATGATGGAAAGGTTACATGTTAGCTCAGGGTGAATCTTCCTCAGGCAAAAAAAAAAAAAAAAAAAAAGGTTGGGGGGTGGTGAGCCTAAGCTCAATAATATTTAAACAAATAATGACTATTGAAAAATTAAACATCTGTGTAGGGATAGAGAATTTGGAGGAACTAATCAAATCAAACTTGCAATGTTATTGTGGTTTTCATGTGGCTAAAAATGCAGACTCAAAATACTCTGTGAAAACTTCCCTTTAAAGCTGGATGAAATTAACCACACAGGGCTCCCTGTACTCTTCAAACTGAAAATGCTTCCATTCTAAAATGTCGTTTTTCTTTCTTAAAGTCATAAAAATTAAATAATTTACAAGCATCTGGATGGTAGTTTTTGAGAAAGTGGCTTAGATGAGATTTTGCTAATGTTCATTTTTCAAGATGAAACTGTAAGCCATTTAAAAAGAGTATTATTAGGAATTTTTAGTCCAATCAGATAATGTCTAGTGAGGTGGCATGGTGCAGCCGGAGCTTACTGGATTGGGACCTGGGCTCTGAAAACATAACGTCCGCTGAGCCCTTGCACCTCTCTGGCCTTCGTTTCCACCCTGGTAAGCGAGCAGGCGGGACCAAGTGCATGAGGAGTTCCTTAGATCCTTTCTAACTGGAAAATTCTGTGATTCTATGTTAGAATAAATTATACACAGCGTCAACAGCTGAGAACAGGGGTCAGCAAACTCTGGCCCCTGGGCCAAAGATGAGAACGGCTTACACATTTTTAAAGGGGTGTAAAAAGAAAGGGACAAACAAAAACAACAAAGACAAACACAAATATGTGACAGAGACCATATGTGGCCTGAAAATCCTACAACATTTACTATCTGGCCCTTTACAGAAAAAGTTTGCTGACCTCTCTGCCTTAGAGGATGGACGTTAATGAGAAGTCTTTCCCCTTGAAGGTGAAAAAGGTTCTAACCAAGCAAAATACACTCCAGAAAGCATTAGGAAAGCACGGACAGTACTTCCTGTGCTAAAGAGGAATGGAGGCATCAGCGGGAGGCAAATGACCAATAACAGAGGCAGAGATCAGGCTTTCTAAGGCGACACAATGGGACTGGCAGGAGGTTCAGGCCAAAACTACTACATGTAGGTGTGTAGGTTGTGCACTGCACAACTCTAGGAGACACCAGTCTAATTATTATTGTGAATGGCACCCCCTAAGGCATCGAGGTAACCAATCTGCACAGTTATATACACCATCCCCGGCTCAGGCCACTTGTTATTTCACAGTTGAACTTCACACATAGTAATTTCAAGTAACTTTGGTAAGGTTTTTGTTATTCATAGCTTTGAAGAACTACTGTGAATGTGCCCCCATCAAGTTAATGTGACACTGTTCATCAGAGCTCCTGTACCTGCTTGGCGGCCCCAGGCATTTGGTCACCCTGGCCCTGGCCATGGCCCTGGCCGCTGGAGCAGTAGTGGTCGTCTGAGATGGTGATCTGCTCGTTCTCCTCCGCTTCCAGCTGGCTCTGGTTGAAACGCAGAGAACCTTTCAGAATGTCTTTGATCTATTTTCAAAGAAGAAAATAAATACAAAAGATGAATGAGTTGGTTTTTAAATGCTAGCGAAACTCTAATACATTTAAACTAGACTTGTCATTGACCAGTTTTTAATAGTACGGATATGAATATATTACTCTAAGAAAGAAATTTTAAAAAATCCAACTCTATAAAGTCATTGACTTACTAACGACCAAGGAAAGTTTCAGAGTCTTAATGGCCAGGTTCTCACTGGGTCGGGCATGGGTGCCGCACCCCTGGCAGTTATCTTAAAGCTGGAAGCACCATTTGGCTGCACACCCAGCCCCACGGAACAGCCCTTGGCTACCCCAGCGGCTCGGCTGCAGCTGAGCTGTTAATAACACAGGAGGACATTTGAGAGTGGCACTCTCTTTTTGCTGACATTTACATTCCCTCTAGGGCTTCAGAGGTTGAATAAATGTGGCCCTTGAGGGCCGGAGGCCTGCTGCAGGTAGTGATTAAGACTTGTGCTCCAAGGACATTTGTGCATTCATGGCTGGATGACTGGATGTGATGCTGGACCATACCACACCAGCTTTAAGTGAGGAACAAAGAGAATGGGCTTAGTAAGAGGAAGAGGCAGGGGTGGGAAATGGAAAACCAGTTGAGGCTGCAAGCTAGTCAGACACAATCACTAGAAGGAACAAAGGGCAGAAGGAGCTGAAGATTTGGGTGGGGTTCTGTCTGGGAGGAACGAGGCACTGGGGGGACACTGGCTCTGATCCTGCAGTACTCCATGCCCCAGGGTGCCCTCCCAACAGGCACTAAAAGGGTAGCCTGTGGGACACCAAGTCAGATCAATGGACATACCTGTTTTAATCCTGCCAGGGAAACCAGAATTTGATCTTCTTTTTCCAAATTTTCTTGTAAAATTACATCTTGAATGTTCACTAAAAATAGAACAAGGATATTTTTTAAAATTGAAGTATAGTTGACAATATCATGTTAGTTGTGTCCAACACAGCGATTCAATATTTATACACATTATGAAATGATCACCATGATAAGTCTAGTTACTATCTGTCACCATGCAGAGTTATTACAATATTATTGACTATATGCCCTATGCCATATATCACACACCTGTGATGACATATTTTATAACTGGAAGTCTGTACCTCTAGAATGACATTTGATAACTAATGCTCTGAGTATAACTTATCTGCTGCCACACCATAGCTTCAGACAAACTTGAGAATTTTTCTGCCACATTTCTCAGCAACTATTCCCACTGAGGATGCTCTGACAAAATGCGGATGGGGAGGCGCCAGGCAGAGCCAAGGGGAGCACTGAGCCTGGCACGCACAGCCTTGCCACCAACATTGCATGAATGCATTCTTAGAACGACAGATGTGTCTGCACTTTCACAGACAGACCAGGGCACCTTTTGCTGACCTACCACGTGGTGAACAGCCTAGAACATTCATCTAACCTCTAGGAGGAAGCATTTTGGCCTGGGCTTCCTACACTGCCTCCCGGTTCACTCATGTTAACTCAGCTCTCTCTCTCAGGACGTGTTCCTCCTAGGTGACAGAAATTAATAAAGACACCGTCTTTAAGGAATTAAATGGTAAAGCATGTTGTCGATTCAACACAGTGGCAAGAATAAAAGGACAAACTCATGGCACTACAGGCTGCCACCAGACACACAATAAGTATTTACTGACTGACTGACTGACTTACTGACAATGAACAAACATGGAAAAATACTCTTGCAACTTGCATTTCAAAACACTGCTATTCTAAATACTTTCAGAAGGTACTTCCAGTAATGGGCAAGGTGAAGACTGACACCATCAACACGAGGCCAGCCTGACTATTTATTAGAACCTGCAGTCTGAATAAGCCTATAAACCAGGCTGACAGGTCCTCTTCCACACTGCAGCAGGAAACAGCAGCTTTTACTTATTCAGAAAATGTGACTGTAGTTTCTGGCTATCAGAAAGGCCTGCTCCAAAACAAGAACGCAAGATGAATGGGAATGGAATAATAGATATAATTAGACGGCTAACGTTTTTGGTTTCCTTAAAAGCCTGTAACAATTTGTTCTCTGTCAACAAAAAAACAACACAAAATCCACTCAACAAGACATTAACAACAATCAACTGAAGAAAACTGACAAGAAACAGTTCTGTAGGTCTTGTAGAGGACTGCAGAGGCTTACTTTGGTTTTTATGACTGCTATGGCTGGAAAGCAGAGCTCTGAGGGCCTGAGGGCTGCCGGAGCAGCAGGGCGCACAGTGGCTGGGCAGTTGGGAAGGGTGGTTGGTTCTGCCTGCTGAGCTGCGAGGTGGGGCGGATCCCCCAGCTCCTGCTGGGTAAGCAGGGGCAGCAGGGGCCAGCCCCCACACCATGAGATGAAGTTTAGCCAATGGATGCAGGAGCGCCAAGACATGTGGAGGAAGCAGGGGGGGTTTCTTCAGTCCAAGGAACTACCGGAGAGGAGGCCCCTGGAGGCCACACTCAGCACATCGGGGGGCCAGGAGAAGAGGCAATGGGCAGAAACCAAACATGATGTTTCCTGCTGCCCTGACTGGGTCTTTGTCTCCTGCTGCCCCTGATGGTCTGCTGTGGAACATATCCTGAAGCAAAAGGGTTTGTCCAAATTGCGCGGTTCCTGCCCCAGTGTAATGGTGAGGCCCATGGTCAGCAGCAGCAAAACCAAAGGCCTTTAGGGTCATAGGTTGCAGACCTACAGGGCAGTCAGAGGCTGCACTGGGGAGAGGCCCAGGAATAGGCAGGAACAGAGCTCTCCTTAGAGGCCAGTAAAGACCCAGAGGGCACTCAGAGGCCCTTCCTCAAACACCACAGAGCCATGTAAGCCAGCCCAGAACTCTGACATCATGCTGGCGGCGGGAAGAGACAGAGTGGAGAAACTCTATCTGGGGGCATTTGCTCAGTTGAGACAGTTGACCTGTAAGAGACCGAGTTGCCTTTAATTGTCAAGTTTAAGCCTTGGACTGCCACTGGTGGGAACGGAACTTCACAGCACGACTTCCGTACACCTGAGTTCAGGTACATAGATTTACTGTCCCACTACAGAAGTACCAGTGTCTACCTGAGATCTTACAAAACCTAACTGGCCATGTTGCCTGAAAGTCCCATGAACCAGGAAGCCCTGGCCACCTTCTCTTGGATGCCCTGTTTTGCTGTGAGTCTGCCACAAACCCATATACTCAGGAGTGGTGGTGGTGGTGGTGCTTGCAGGCGGAGGCTGAAAGGGGCGTGCTGGTGAAGGCAGAAGGTATGAGTATACTGGGAAGATGGAACAAGAGAAACCTCTCGTCTTTCATTACAGGCCTAAGGCAGAATGATGCTCCGTGTTGTACAGGCCACATCCCCCCATGTGCTCCCTTTTGATAAGAGTGTGAGCAGCCACCAAGCCTAGATCCTCACTATTGCACTGCCTCTTAGGTCGAAAGAGGTGGCAGAGCTGCTGGTGGGCTACCCCAACTCTACCCTCCACTCCTTCCTCACCAACACGTCACAGATTTTATTCAGGGCAGGACTGTGTGCATCTTCCCTTGTAGCCAAGGTTGGTCATGTGACACAGCTCTGGCCAATGAGGTGCAAGAGAAGTCCCTGCATGGAGCTTCTGGAAAGCTCCTCAGGGGGACTGACTCAGTTTGTGCCTTTACTCTCCCCATTTTTGCTGCCTGAAACGCTGGCAGGAGGTCCACAAGTCAACTTGCAAACACGTGCATGAGGATCACAGCTTAAGGCCTGTGGGCAGAAAGCCAGAAGCAGCCTGGGGTACTGGGTACATCATGGAGCTGCCATACCTGCTTGGACTGCCTACCTCTGGGCTTCTTTTATTTAAAACAAGAAATAACCTCCTGATTTGTTTATTTTGTTTTTTGGGTTTATGTTATTAGCAGCTGTATTAGTTTCAAAGTACTATAAACTAGACAGTTTAAAACAACAGAAACTCATCCTCAGCTCTGGAGGTTCTCAGTCCAAAGGCAAGGTTGGCAGGCTCCCTGAGGGTTCTAGGGAAGCATTCTTCCTCGCCTCTTCCCAGCTTCGGGCAGTTGTCCGCAATCCCTGGCTTTCCCTCTACTGTCACATGGCACTCTCCCTGTGTGTCTCTGTCCGAATTTCCCTCTTTTTATAAGGACACCAATCACTGGATTACAGCCTACCCTAATCCAGGATGACCTCAGCCCAACTTGATTATATCTGTAAAGACCCTATTTCCAAATAGGTCACACTCACAGGCTCTGGGTGGACACGAATTTAGGGAGAACCTTATTCGACTCAGCACAGCAACCAAACTACCCGTTATCCAGGAGGGAAATCCTCTAACGAAAGGGGACCAAGGAGTCCCACCAATCCTCTCCTGCTCGCACAACATGATCTCCAGTCCCAGGCTGGCTCTGGCCCGCTGTGCACCGTGGGCAGCCAAGGGCCCAGCCGGGGAGGGAGAAGAGCCCAGAGCCTTAGGGTCATCGTGGCGGACCCCCACCCGGCAATTCTGCAGCCTCCGTTTGTGGACAGACTCAAACATAACCTTTCAGAATCTGATGAAAAACCGGACCTTCTCCCCTGAAAACCCACCTAAACATAAAATGTTCACTTAATTTTAAGGATAAGCCTCTGCCATAATCAACTAAGCTGACTAGTCTCACTCTAAGAAATTGAGGGTATAGAAATCCTAATTAAAATAAAATGGCACCTTCAGAGGCTGCTAAACGTTTTGAATACAAAAATTTTCATTTTACTAACAAAGTACTGACCATGTAAATCCTTTGCCTAAATGGTTCTACTATATATTCATTTAAGGTAGCATTAACGAACATTCTACTAATATATACTAATATATAATCTCTTAGTAACAAACCTGCAGCTTTAAGTAAGTTGTACCTGCATGCAAAAATAGAAAAACATAATAATGCCTTTTCATGCCTTAAAATATTAAAGGCAGAAACGTGAAATGTTTAAATTCCAATGTAATGCCTATTTTTCCTTACAGCGAGAGGTAGAATAAATTACGACATAAAGGGTCTTTCTTTTTGTTTCTGTGTAGGAGGAAGGTTATGTTCTTTGTAATCTCTTTCTATGTAAGTATCATATATTATAACTGTTGGAGCGCTGAAACTCATGGGGAACACCTCACAGAACTAAGCACTTCTGTGGAAAGTATACAAAAATCTTATCAACATAACAATCTCATGGTGACTCCACTATTTTTCATGAAATGTCAATGCCACAAAAATAGATCTCTAACTCTGAGGGTAATGGAAATGGCACACAAACTACTTTTTCAATTTCTTAAAACCCTTATTTTCTTCAATGCTTGAAAAAAAGTTTTCATTGAAACGGCTGGTACAGAAGGTAACGTAAGCCTATATTCATCAAGAAGGGCAGAAGAAAGGGGACAAAAGCAGAACTAACATCTAGACAGAGGAGGTGGAAGCGGGCAAGTTACTTAACCTCTTTGTACCTCGGGGTAGTAAGAGAACCTTCCTCACAGGATTAACGTGAGGAATACATACACGGGGGGAGATTCACCTAGTGCACCAGAAGCTCAGGCCCTGGTAGCTTTCATTTCTACGTGGCCACATTACCTCATCTGACAATACCGCCAACGGTTCTAGATGAGGCCCACCATTCTATTACAGAAAAGAGAGCTGGGCTCAGAAATGCCGTGTGTGTTATTTGAGGTCTCATAACTGGAAAGTGGTGGAACCAGGATTAGATTCCAGATCATCTGGACTCCTGAGCCCTCTATGTATATGGCACTGATGGAGGGGCTAGAGCCATGAAAAGGCCCAGGATGGGGTCTTGGCACTAACTCGACTGCCTTGAGATGACAGTGCCCTTTATTTGGTGGTGGAACTGACCTAAGTGAGGTCAGCCAGCAACAGGAAGTCACCTATATGCAAAACTG